GATCGCGGACGCCGGGCGAGCCCTCCCACCTGTACGCAGCCGCCTGGTTGCCCGCCAGCTTCTCACCTGTCGGCCTCCATGTGTGGTCCCAGCCCTGATGATCCCAGCCCCGCCCCTGGTTCTGTCAGGGTGGGCACGGCTCTTGAAGGCTCACAGGCAGGTGGGCACAGCGCGTGGGGTTGTGGCCGGCATCCCGGCGGGCAGAGAAGGAGAAGGACTGTCCCACACAGTGTCTGGGCGCTTGCCTAAGGGTGGCAGCGGCGCCACCGCTTCCTGTCGGACAGGTCTCCGAGTCGGTGACATCACAGCCTGAACGCGTCATCTAAAGATAAGGCCCTTCCCCGGGAACCCACCCATAGCCGGCATGGGCACGCTGGGCTTTACATTCACAATGAAAGAATGTGGAACGTTCATTCCAAAGGCTTCAAAATAAAAGTCACGAGAAGATAAAACTTAAGAGAGCCCAGCGGCGCGTTGCCATGGCTTTAGAAGTAGGCCAGCGCTCTACTACCTGCCGCACAGTCACGGTAATAATGGCCCTGGTGCGGCTATGTAAGCGGACACGGCGGGCCTTTATTCTAATTGACTGTGGACATGGAAACCTGCAAAATTCAAAGGTCCAATGGCCTGCCTAAAACTCTGACCAATCATTAGAGCAATCCAGGCCTTTTTTGATCCTTCATGCTCCACTAGCTAAGTTTAAGATTCAAGTTACCAAGGTAGAAAAAAAAAATTAGAACTTTTGACAGTTCTCTTTCTACTTTTGCAAGTGGGCTATGCATCATGACTTCATAAAAGGGTGGAAGTTAGCTGCAAAAACCATTATCCCCAAAGGCGTGACGTCATCTTCCTAAATCCACAATTGCCTTTAAACATGAAGGCATGCTGCTGACAGTGCTGTGGGGTTTGTTTTGTTTTTATAAAAAGATAGTTGTTCAGGCTGGGCCAGCGTGGCTCAGGGGTTGAGCCTCGACCTATGTACCAGGGGGTCACGGTTTGATTCCCGGTCAGGGCACAGGCTGGGTTGCGGGCTCGATCCCCAGTGGGGGGCGTGCAGGAGGCAGCCGGTCCATGATTCTCTCTCATCATTGATTGTTCTATCTTCTTTTCTGAAATAAAAAAAATATTTTTTAAAAATATAGCTCTTTAGGAAATTTACTGTTTTCTTAGGTTTTGAAGTCGAATTTCACCTCATTGGCCTCAAATTGTTTTACAAGATAGAGACCATTAGGAGGCAAAACAATCGTAATTTAAGTTTACTCTAGTAGAGATGGCCTATGCAATAGGCCCTCCCAGGAGTCACCCTATTAACCTACACTCATGTGCACCAGGAAGGGCCTTGTTATGAGCAGCATAAGACGTCAGCCACCCAGTAAATTCCAAGGGTTTTAGGAGCGCTGTGCCAGGACCCAAACCAGGAGCAAAAACCGTGTGGGGGCGGGAGAGGGGCCTGAGGTACTGCTCTGCGCGTGCGCCCGACGGTGACTTCCGGGTACGCCCTTCGTCCGTGTGCGCCCGCGCTCCCCGTCTGTGCGTCATACGTGCGCGCCGGCGTCCCCTGGGTTGGGAATTTCGCGCTGGGAGTCGGCACCTGGCGGAGCGGA